AAAAAATAAGACAAAAGAGGTCATCTTAACACCAAAAAAAATAAATAAAAAATATAAATTTGAAATAAAAAACCACGTAATTTTGCTTAATAACAATTAAACTTTTCTAAGCACATTCTTTATAAGAACATGCACTTTTTATATGCATACTCAAACTTTGATTAAATGTATACTTAATTTTTATAAATACATTTATTCTTTAAATACATATTATTAAAGTATAATATTAAAAAGCATGTGCGTCTGACTAAATTATATATATGGATATTTTTTCTAAAAATATTAATTTTTTAATAAAAAATCTAGTTAAAACAAAGATTAAAGACAATTAATAGAAATTCTAATAAAATTATAATAAGATTGTAATGATTGATTTATTTATTACAAAATTGTTCTCTTGATTTTATTCTCATATTCATAATGTACTAGCACTTGAAGGTAAAGGTTTGTAGAAAGTTCTCACTTAGATGCAACTAATAAACTACTTTTTAAGCCAGTATTTCACAAACTGAAAACTAATCTAACTTACTGAGACAAAATTGTTGCCTATAATTAAGGGCACTGAGTTTCGTAAGGAGTTGTTAGTTTCTTATGCTTTTTATATCATTTGATTTGTAGAAACCTCACCAATTTTTTGGTTTAATAAGCATTATTTATTATATTAAAATGCAACTACATCGATTTGTGTGATTTACAAAAATCATATAGTAAAATTTTACATGACAGATCGTATCATCCGATACGTGTCATTCCGTATGACATTACATATGACGTGAACAACGTGCCACACTCTTTCTGTAATGGCCATATCATTTTTACACTATAAAACGAGTCTATACGTGCCGCATTAGGGTGTTCAACAAATCGGTAAATCAAATAATAGTATTATGTACGTATTTTTTTATAGCAATTTCGGAAATTTCGGAAAATTACCGTTGCGATTGATGATCTTTATTGAACAAATTATTTTTAATACAATTTTTAAAGATACATTTTTCAAATTAAAGTTATAAGATTGTTATATCTTTTTTTTTTTAATTTGTAGCTTTTATTTCTTTCTTTTTGATAAAAATCTATGTCTACTTTATTAAATAATTAACTATTCATAAATAGAATAAACAAAAAAAAATGCCGTTGTTACACTATTATAAGTGAGTAAATATGTCACTCACAAAAATTGACTAGCGATTATTGTCAGTTCAAAAGAAAAGTGTACGAAAATTACTATTATCCGCAGTAAATGGGATTTGCTTATTTCTGCAAGTGATACAAGCCCAAAAAAGGAAATGATTGTTATTTCGCTAAAAGTACGTGAGATTTGACTAGCGTTAGGGCTAGGGTTAAGGATTGGTAATAGAAAGGTTATATGGGTTGTTGTCCAGTAAAACCATGCTTAGAGTATATAAAAAATATATACTCTAGGCATGGTTTGCTGGGTAACAACTCATATAGTAAAATTTGGCCAGGTATTTTTTTTATTAGAACGTAAAAAGTGAATTTTCTAGGCAAAATTTTAAATTACCGGTGATGTTTTGAAAAATTCTTCGATCTCACGTTACATAAATTTTGCACCTGATCTTGCGATCTATATAGAAAAATTTCCTTTTTGGGCAGAAATAAGTATATGCGTGCCGCATGGTCGTACCATTTCATGCATTCACGAAACAAACCCACGCCACATCCCGAACCACTTTTCTTATAGGGATAAAATGCGCAACAGAAATCGCTATAAAAATTATATAAACTTGTAGCTTTTTAAACACATTTTCAAAATCCAAAAATGGTATTCAAAAATCTTTTAATCAGCTTGACTTTACATAAGACCACTTTTTATAATAAATATGCTTTTTTTATAGGATAAAAAAACAATCGACTGACCGAAACCGACCGTGACCGACCGTTGATATCCCTAGTTAAGAATCATAGGCAGAAGTTTGTCTGATTGGCTAATAAATTCAATTTAATTTTGTATTATTTATACAGTTTAGAATACTTTTTAAAAAGACAAAACCAACCATAATAAAGTAAAAAAAAAAAACATATGAAGGTTTCATTAGAGCTGTAGGACTCCATAGCCAAAAATAAGATCTAATTCTCGTCCGTTTAAAAAAGTTAGTATAGTAATAACTTCTCAAAACCCGATAAAATCAACTTATTACTAAGCTAATTTTTTTAAACGGACGAGAATTAGATCTTATTTTTGACTATGAAGTTCTACAACTCTAATGAAACCTTCTATATGTTTTTTTACTTTATTATGGTTGGTTTTCGTTTTTTTAAAAAGTCCTCTAAACTGTATAAATAATGTAAAATTAAATTGAATTTATTAGCCAATCAGACGAACTTCTGTCTATGCAGTTCAGAGTCATTTCACACAATTTAGGTCGATTCCGAATTGAAAATTTAAGGATCAAGGTGTGACTAATTATAGAGTGACAAATATGTATCAACGCTTTATTATATATAAATAAATTAGTCAGGGCTTATTTGTCACGCAATTCACGCAATTTAAGGATCGGGTGTGACCAATCATCTAAGTGTCAAATAAGCACCAACTAATTTATTTATATAAATAAATTATTTGTCATACCTAATGGGTTATCACTTGATCCCAAAACTTAATACGTAGAAATTTAGAACCCAGAATTATTACACATGTCAAATTAATTAATGCAAAAAAAAAACCAAAATTTAATAAATAAATAAAACTTTCCGAATGTTTATCGATAAATACAACCTTTTTTTCTTATTGATTTTTAAAATGGAAAGTTACGACTTTTGATGTGTGAAACTTTTGAAACAATCGCTGTTTAATGGATCAAAATAAATATAATCAATGTTTGACTATAATTAAAAATCCCAACGACTTATATAACCCAAAAATTAAAATTATTTACATTGTTGCAACTGGAGAACTTTGTACGATTAAACAACCTGGAGACGCAAGTTTGTCCTGTTGAAACTTTTTTATGCTTTAACGTGCATTTTTTTATTGCGGTTTTTTTTTATTTAGTTGAATTGCGTATTTTTTATTTGAAGCATTAAAGAATTTTTTTTAATATAGCTAAATTTTATTATAAAGAATTTTAAAAGTTTTGATTTCTTTATGTAAAAGTTGCTTTTTTCATGCAAAAGAACTTTAATAATATAATTAATATTATTGCTTGAGTTAGATAATTTATCGCTTGGGCATATAATTTTAAATTTTTAAAAATTCACCGATTAGAAATAACCCAGGTCAATTTGGAATCAATCTAAATTGTGAAATGACTCAGAACAGTAATAGCCTACCAATCTTTCACAACAATACCTGTTCCTTTGACTAAATCACGGTCGCCTGCAGATAAGTTACAATGTACGCATAAAATGATAATATTGTACATCGACAATGTACTTGCATAAACATACCTGATACCAAAAAGGGGTTATGTAAAATTTGAGAATTCAATCTAATCATATCTTGAGTCGAATATTAAAGAGGAGGTGACGGTGGGGCTTAATAAACAAAAGGCAGCGATGGGACTACAGGGGTTAGAAATAGGTGATACTTAATTGTTGCATTTAATAATTTTTTAAGAATCAATTTTTTTTAATAAATCACAGCATATGACGTTTTAATTTCTAAGCACTGTAGTTTCATCACTAGCAAAAGGTAAATAATATGTCAAGAATTTATTGCGGTTTGCAAAATTATGTGAAATTTAAAAAAAAAAAAGCAATTACTGATGTCCAATTACTGATTTCTGATTTCCAATTGATTTCTTTAAAAAATAATAAATGCGTAAATTTTGTCTAATCTAAAAATCACGAAAAAATGTTTAAAACAGAAATCAGTAATCGGAAATCATTGATTATTTTTTTTTAAATTTCACATAATTTTGCAAACTGCAAATAATATCTAAATGTTAAAAATTGAAACTTTTAATCATAAAAACAATTTAATTTTTCATTTTTTTAATTTTTTTCAAAAAAAAAAGTATAAATACAACCAATAAACGATAAAAACTTTTTGCGGCAAGTTCAAATAGCTCAGATTAGAGTGTCCAGGGGTCCGAGGTGCATAAATCTGCTCACTCTAAAAATATTTTCTTGTATTGTATTTGATTTTAAAAATGATTAAATTTATGTTAATCTTACGAAAACAATTGGCAAAATATTTTTAGAGTGAGCAGATTATGCACTGCAATCCCCTGGACATTCTAATATTTACCTCATTGTTATTGCTGAAATCGTGTGATGTTATTCATCACATAGTTTGGGTAACATTGCAGTTATAGTGAACTCGTTATATAAAAACTCACGATTTAGAACTACTTTCCTATAACGAGATACCTATCTTTCCTTTTAAACAATGTGGCTGTTTACTAGATCAACAAACAGATTCCAGAATAATTAAAGTAATGATCAGAGAATTGCCAAGAATAATTCTTATAAAAAAAAATTCCCTCATAATAATCTTGCCTCTAACTTTTAACTTTGAAATCTGTTTAATGGAGGACAATGGTAGTCAATCTAGGCCAAATGATTGACAAAACCTGGCACAGATGTTGGTGTGCCTTTGTTTATTTCTGTAATCGTACATACGCACGTATGTAACGTACATTCTTCATATTAATTGAATTTGTATATTTTGTTTTATGTATTTTTCCGCAAATTTTCGCAGTTACCTTGTCACTTGTCAAATTACGATATGTTGTGCAAAAGGTGTGTTTCTAAAATTCCTTGTTGCAACTTTATTATACATATAAATGACATTTTTATCTATTTAAAAAAAGAAAGGAAGTTAGTTTCCTACGTCAGTGCCTGTGACCAATATTACTGTTATTTATTTATAGAAATTTAAAAATCATTTAACGCTAAATGTTTAGTTTCAACATGTCGATGTGTGCAATTAATGAAATGGACTTAATAAGAAATGATGCCCTTAAGCGTATCACGTAGTACAAAGCACATTAATTTTAAATCGTCATGTTTTCAACCTTTTTAAAACTACCACTAAAATGACTCAACACACCAAAACGCAAGACATTGATATAACATCGTTAACACCACCAGTTGTCCAGTCATCTCGATCAAATGATACTGATTCACCACCAAACCTTTCTGATACACCACCAAACCTTACTGACACACCACCAAATGTTACTGACACACCACCAAATGTTACTGACACACCCCCAGATACTCAACAAAACGTTCCTGATGCTCTATTGGATGTCCAAGATATCCATGATTCAGAGCCTCCACCGTATGACCAAATAGTATTTCAAACTCCAAACATCCAAGTAACTCCACAATATATACATGCAACTCCTCAAATTGTCCAACCACTTCAACCTGTCCAACCGCTTCAACCTGTCCAACCATTTCAACCAAACATCAATTCAACTTATCCATATACTTCTGAATATTTCTCCCAGCCATACCAACCCCCTATTATCACTAACAATAACAATATAATCGGTAATAACGATGAGTCAACGAATAATCCGTCAATAGCTCGAAGTATGATTATTACTATTAGGACATTCATATCTGTGGTACTTGTACTAATTTCCATGCTATTTCTTCGATATCTTGGTTATCTTAGTCAGTGGTACTATATCACCCTTCTAATTGCTTTGCTGAGTGTGGTTTATCACATCATTAGATTAATTAATGCATATAATCGAGGTGAATTCTTTATGAGCCATATCTTTAATTATGAGGTATCGAGATCAAAATTGTTGTTAAGCGTGATATCATGTATCGCATACGTTATAATGTCAATAGCTATTATTAGGAATTATGGAATTATCGCTTCAGATCTCATTTCATCCATTGTGAATTGGTGTATCTTTGCACTTACAATTCTATGGGTCTTATCTACTTCGTTTATGTACATAGATTATAGAAATAGTAATAGCAATCAACCTGTAGATACTTTAATGATGACAACTGGATATGAAAACAATATAATTAATAGGCAACAAAACAATCCTGCTGCAAATCATTATGTAATAAATAGTGGTAATAGTTATGGTCAAAATGGATATTATTTTAGGTAATAATCCCTTCATCCTTATTTTTGACAATTAGAAGTCATTCATATTTTTTTGAGCGGAATGGTTAAAATTATTATACCTGAAAATTATTGATTACATTTATCTTTTTTTTTCCTTTTTCTGAATGATTTCTATACAAAATACTTTTTCATTTATGATTCAATTAACAACTTTTCATTTATTAAATATCAGTTACCTTTGAAAATTCTCTTGTACAAATTCTTATTCTAAAAATCGGTGAAAATAAATACTTGGTGAATAAATTCACGAATTTGTGATCTAATTTTTTTTGATGTACTTCTTTCTATCTACTGGACAATAATCGAACTCAGTCCCTAAAAAAATCATGATATCAGAAACTAAGTTCGTCGCAGTGAAAATTTAAATATTCACTTCCAGGTTTTCATTCTTACGCACTCAAATAGATTTAAGATCTTTTAAACTCCAGCTTATTTTCATAATAAGCTAATTCTGAATCATCCTAATAGGGGTTTTAAAGATAACAAATAATTGGCGCATATTAAAATTAAAAGAGAGGTTGAAAAGCTTACGTATTTGTATTTCAAACTTTTAAGATTGGAAAATGAAATGGGAGTGTCTGGAGTGATGTTTGAACAACTTATATATATTATTATATCTTATTGATACTTTTAGAATGACATTATGTATATTCATAACAATTAATTAATAAGTAGTCTTATTATAAGTTGATATTATGATGATATTAAATAAATATCTTCATATATAATATTTTACAATATTTAAATATTGATCATTTTTTTCATATTATCTTTACTATTTACAAGTAATATTTTGTTATTAAAGTGACAATAATTGAAAATTAACTTTTTCAACATTATTTCAAATGTATTTATTAGTTTATTTTACAAAATATTAAACAATATATATAAACAAATAAGGATAAGAAATGCAAAATAATGTATTAAAACAGTTTACTAAGAAATGTACAAGAGGTAGGGTGACATAATAAAATAGATAAGTTGTTAACCTTCTAAGTGGTAGGTTGTAAGTTCAAAACTTGCTGATAATGAAATTTGAACTATTACCTATATAAATATAGACAGTATTATAGTAATGTTATTTTGTTGATCTGTTGAAATAAGCTACTTATAATTATAGTTATATTAGCATGACTGACAGGTTACAAAGTATTTGTATAACCTTGGTTATAAAAGAATGCAAACTGGATCAGGTGGTGCTAACCAAAAATAAGGTCTTATACTTATATAAATTAATAGAACTGAGAAAAACCAAAGCTTACTTAAAAAGACCTAAGTAGAAAGATAACAAGATATTTGATAATATTACTGTAATAGCTAGACTTAGAAAATGTAATAAAGATCTAAGTAGAAAGATAACAAGATATTTGATAATATTACTGTAATAGCTAGACTTAAAAAATGTAATAAAAATGTAAAAAAATTAAATAAACTAAAATCTTTAGATTAGAATTACTACTAATTAGGCTGCCAAGTCAAATTAGAAGAAAAGAATATTGAGCTAAACTCAATATACTAGAAATAGATTATAGTTCTTTTATATTATTTGAATTAAGAGTTTAAGAACAAAGTATAATATACTAAAAAACTAAAAATATATTATAAAATTAGTACTAAAGTACAGATAAACTTTATAAAAACAAGTTCTTATTAAAAGTCTATAGAGTGAGTAAGTAGTTAACAAAAAAAATCTTCTAAGTCATATTGGAAAGTGTTAATTTTAAAATGTATAATAATTTGGGTATCAGTTTAAAAGAAAAGATATTGTACAACTTAGATAGTATATTGATTAAGCATATAAAAGAGGTTTGTGCTAGTTAAATAATTAATAGAATAGATAATTAGAAAGCTTAAAATAAATAATTTTCTAGTAAATTAAAGATATAGCATCTAGTATAGAATTCTAAAATAAATTACTTAAAATATACAACTAAAAGTTATATATATAACTAGTTATATTTTTATTCTATAAAAATAATTATAATACTAACCTTAACATATATTAATAAAATAATTATTATAAAGTATAATATTTAAAATAAATAAATAAATAAATATACAGTAACTAACAAAACTAATATTTAATTTACAAATTATTATATATAAGCAAATAAAAAAATATATATATTTTTTTTACAAATTTTAAAGCAATTTTTTTTATAAAAATATTATACAAACAAATAACTAAAAAGAAAAAGAAATAATTTTCATTTATATAAATTAGTATAATAAATACTAAATAAGTTGTCTACAAAATTTAGTATAATTTAACAATAGTTTAAAAGTTTTTAGACAAATAAAAAAATTAAAAAATTAAGAATTTATCTTAGTCTAAATATTTTTTACTCTAAAAAAACAAGAAAAGATTGCTATAATGAAAAAAATTAAAGAAAAAACATGACTTTTGCTCAAAAATATAAAGAATTTAAATCTTTAATACAGTATACAAACTGTAGCTAAAACCTTATACAATATTGAACTTTATTTTTGTATTACTGTTTTGAAATCTTTTTTGTTAAAAAGTACTATAAAAAAATATATAAAATAATATAAACAAAATAAAAATAAGGATAAGGTTGGATCTAATAATTTAGTTGTTAAGCTCTTATTTTCTCACAAACAAGATTAATAATTTGAATCTAATTTAAGATAAAATACTCTATAACCAAAAATGGAGCCTATAATTAGATACAAAGCTCTGTAAAAGTTCAAGTGAAGATATATATTTAATTTAAGAAATTCCTAGAAAAACTGATATAGCAGAGTGTAAGCACTACTATAATAAAAAATGTCATTAATATTTGTAAAAAGGATTAGTCTTACTTAATATGGAATTATTACTGGCATTATAAATCCAAGTAGGTGTAGTTGTGGAATCTACTTTTATTTGATAGAGTTTGCATTGAGATTAAAGTAGCTCTAAGGTCTGTTATTAAAAAATTAAATTAGTACTACAGAAAAAACATTGAAAATCAAAGACTTTAAATAGTATTAACTTACAAAACAATCATAACTCTTGAACCACTGAACAGAATTCAATAAACTACCACCATTCGAATCAGCTCACTGAGATGGTTCTAATGAGGTATAGATCATTATTTTTTGATTACAGGATCACAAGATTGAATCCAATAACCAAATTAATAAGAAAGCTGCGATCTAATTAGTTGATGATAACTGTGCGAAATATCATACATATAACATATATAACATTTATGCATTTTGGAGCATTTATATTTTATATTATATTTAGTTTATA